CCTCAAGTGATCTGTCCACTTCGGCCTCCCAAAGTGCTGGAATTATAGATGTGAGCCACTGCACCCAGCCTCTATTTATATGAACTATCCAGAATAAGGCAAATCTGCAGAGATGGAAAGTAAATCAGCGGTTGCCTGTGACTGAGAGTGTGGAGAGAGTACCAGGGTTTGGGCTTTCCTTCTGAGATTATGAAAATATTGTAAACGTAGATCGTGATGTTTCACAGCTCTAAAGATAGTAAAAGCGTTCGCTTGTGCACCGTAGATGAGTGCATGTTACATACGTTAGTTGTATCTCAGTGTCAAAAATAAAAACAACTGGGAGAAAGAGGAAAAAGGGGAAATGGAAATCAAATCAGAAATGGTGAAGTAACTCACATGTATCCTGTCCGCCTCTTGGAATATTTTTCAAGTATTTAATAATCTGTACCCTAGTAGATAAGGCCTAATTTCTTTATCCATCAAATTAAAAACCTAATTTTATCTTATAAATTCTTGCATTCTGCTTGTTACTACACTTTATGCTAGGTCCTTGGAAGATGCTCCTGAAAGTAAACATAAATTTACTTTCATAAGTTTATATAAGTTTACTTTCTCTTGTATTGCTTACAGCCTCCCAGGAGAGAGAAATAATGTCACAAGCAGATTGAAACCTAAACTCTTTTTTTTTTTTTTTTTTTGAGACAAAGTTTCACTCTTGTTGCCCAGATTGGGGTGTGATGGCATGATCTGGACTCACTGCAACCTCCACTTCCCAGGTTCAAGTGATTCTTCTGCCTCAGGCTCCCAAATAGCTGGGATTACAGGCACCTGCCACCATGCCGGCTAATTTTTGTATTTTTGGTGGAGACAGGGTTTCACTATGTTGACTAGACTGGTCTGGAACTCCTGACCTCAGGTGATCTGCCCACCTCAGCCTCCTACAGTGCTGGGATTGCAGGCATGAGCCACTGCTTCTGGCCTGAAACCTCAACTCTAATCAAATCTAAGAATTTGATTAGAGAGTGTATAAAAGGTGATTTGACCTTGAGAGGGAGGGTACCCTGGGGAGAAATTTGAAGGAAAAACCAACAATAATTGGGAATGGAACAAAGTAAAAAACAAAGGAAGGTTTTAGGCAACCTTAGAGCCTCTGAGAGTCTGATGAACTGAAAATCTGTGTTTGCCAGATGGGTGAGATGGAAGCAAAATTGGAGGGGTCAGCAGCAACCAGGCTGCATTAGGCAATGTGACCTCCCTGTTGATGCCAGTGGGAGGCCACGGAGGTCTGCAGGAGATGACTCCAAGTTCACTGTAGCTGCAGTATGGGATCAGATAGACAGGCCAGAATGGGCACTGATGCCCTGATTGAGAGTTGATTGAGGCAGTGACAGTCCACAAGAGATGGTGGAAACAGTATATATTCTCATATATATTTTTGCAAAATATCTTTGTCTTCTTGCAAAAATCATATAAAATATACATGCTTGACTCTTCAGCAAGGCAATGTATGGGTTTACTAGGTAAGTTTCACAGAGTTGTCAGTAAAATAATTGACATGCCTTGCCCCCCATATGTAAACCTTGTGTCTGTAAGTGGTCTTTAAAGCTTTCCTCTGAATGCAGGTTTAGAGCTATTTAAATGGCAATTGCCATAGTATCTGGGGCTTCAGAACAAGCCTAATCCCAAAGCTTGGCCAGGAGCCCAAGATAACTGTGTTAGAAGTGCCCCAAAGAGATGTGCTTACTGTACTTCCCCCTTTTTGTACAACTGTATGGGAGCAGTGCACTCGGTATGTCAAGTGACACTTGTCATTACAGACCTGGTTTGTGTACAGCTGCCTCAAGAACATTCTAGAAGGCCGGGCGCGGTGGCTCACGCCTGTAATCCCAGCACTTTGAGAGGCCGAGGCGGGTGGATCACGAGGTCAAGAGATCGAGACCATCCTGGTCAACATGGTGAAACCCCGTCTCTACTAAAACTATAAAAAATTAGCTGGGCATGGTGGCGCGTGCCTGTAATCCCAGCTACTCAGGAAGCTGAGGCAGGAGAATTGCCTGAACCCAGGAGGCGGAGGTTGCGGTGAGCCGAGATCGCGCCATTGCACTCCAGCCTGGGTAACAAGAGCGAAACTCCGTCTCAAAAAAAAAAAAAAAAGAAAAAAAAGAACATTTTAGATTTTTCAAAAATTTTCAGAACGTTGTGATTTCTCCAATTTTCAGTGGTATTTGTCTTTACTGTTGTCTTTCATTGTGAAATATAATTTCTGACCCTTAGGGCAAGAATACAAAAATGATAGTATTCCAGACCACTCAGGGCAGCATTCTTCTTGGAGTTTCTTTGTGGAGATTTTAGAATTTACAGGGTAGAAAGATGCCTGAAGAAACATTAATTGTTTTCAGGGTAACTTATCAGTAACCTAAATGAGCTGTGACATGGAAATTCACACTGCAGCTGACAGTGTATTTTACCATTTCAGAGTCCTTGTCAGCTAGAATACCAACATTCTTTACTCTCCACCTTGATACATTTGATCCATATAAAAAATTTATACATACTTATTAAACAGTGAGTGTCACATGTTACAAATAACACTGGTATTGCCACATGGATTGGGAGCACTTGCTTTTCCAGATGAAAAAGGCTGTTAGATACAAATCGTGGCCTCTGAAGTCTGAACAGATTAAATCCTGCCTCTGGGAAAGTGGCTTATCCTGTCTGCCTGTGTTTCTTCATCCAAAAATTAGAGAAGGTGGTGCTCACTTCTTTGTAAGGATCAAGTATGATTTTGTTTGTGGAATTTCTGACACAGGCTGGGCGTGGTGGCTCACGCCTGTAATCCCAACACTTTGAGAGGCTGAGGTGGGTGGATCACGAGGTCAGGAGTTAGAGACCAGCCTGGCCAACATGGTGAAACCCCATCTCTACTAAAAATGCAAAGGTGCCTGTAATCCTAGCTACTCTGGAGGCTGAGACAGGAGAATGACTTGAACCCAGGAGGCGGAGGTTGCAGTGAGCCAAGATCACGCCACTGCACTCCAGTCTGGGAGGCAGAGCAAGTCTCCATCTGAGAAAAAGAAAAGAAAAGAAAAGAAAAGAAATTTCTGACAGCACGTGGCATGCAGTAAAAGCTCAGTTAGTGGTACCTATCATTAATACCAGATTTTGCCTATATGAAATGTAGGTGTGCCAGAGCTCTCATTATTCAGTACACGTTTTCTTAGACTCTGTGCAGTGTGTCGAGCTCTAGGCATGTAAAGATGATAAGTAAGACCTCTTTCATGTCCAGGAGCATGCTACACTTGGTCTAACGCCAAGGTCACAAGCTGGTTGTCAGGAGTCAGATTCAGCCCACAAATGTGTTTCATTTAGTCTACGCAACATTCTTAAGATGTTTGAGCTAAGAGTTTTATGAATCAGGAGATTTTCCATAAATATCCTGGTTTCCATTTTCCACTGGAAATGGACCAGCGTTCCAAGCTGCCCTTCAGTTACATACTCGGTTTATCTCAGTCCCTGCCTTTTCATCCTTCTGTAACGCAGCCTGCTTCCCTGACAGCACCACCTGTAGGTCCCACGTCTGCCTGCCTGGACTAATCCTAGAGACAGAACTATGGGCATGCACATGTAGTAGCAGGAGGTGACAAACCACCAAGTCACCAAGGCAGCAGGGGCTGGCTGGCAGAGGGCCTTGTGGACCAGGAGAAAGGACTTCATACCATGGGAAGCGTTTAGAATGGTTTTCAACAAGGGGTTATAAAGATGAGATTAAGCTTTTGAAAAGATCTTCTGGGTGCCCTTGGAAAAATCAGTTAGGCCAGGTGCAGTGTCTCACGCCTGCAATCCCAGCACTTTGGGAGGCTAAGGCGGGCAGATCACTTGAGGTCATAAGTTTGTGACCATTCTGGCCAACATGGTGAAACCCAGTCTCTACTAAAAATATAAAAATTAGCTGGGCATGGTGGCACACACCTGTAATCCCCACAACTCAGGAGTCTGAGGCAGGAGAATTGCTTGAACCTGGGAGGCGGAGGTTGCAGTGAGCTGAGATCACGCCACTTCACTCCAGCCTGGGTGAGAGAGCAAGACTCCATCTCAAAAAAAAAAAAAAGAATCAGATACATTGGTCAATTTTGCAAAGAAAATTATATATATATATATATAATTATATATAATGATTAATATATAATTGTAATTATAAATATATAATCATTATATATAATTAACACTATATTTATATAATTTATGATTATATGTGTTATATATATAAGTGACGCTACAGTGTGATGATGCAAATGTAGCTCCCAAAGTACTGGGATTACAGGCGTGAGCCACCATACCCAGTCATTCAACTTTTATTTATATTCTATAATAGCTTTAATAATATGATTATACCTAATTATAATATATATTATATATAATTAATTGAATTATGTATTATATATAATTATATATATTATATGTATAGAAATAATAATGAATCAGTTAGAAAATGTCAAAACTGAAGTCAGAAAGAGAGTTGAAAAGCTATTAGAGTAACTGAGATGAAAGTTAATGATGACTGAAACCAAGGATCTGGCCAGGACAGAGAAATATAGACAGATTTTCAACATACACAGGAGTCAGAGTGGACAGGACTTGATGGTTTTACAGATATGAAAGTTGAAGAAGGAGGAGGCAAAAATGATTCTCAGATACATCATGGGCAGCTGACTGGCTGGTTGGTTGATGCTATTTACCGAGAAATGAAACAAGAAGAGGAGCAGATTTGTGGTGAAAGAGGATACCTTCACTCTTGACTGTTTTTAGATGTCTCTGTAAAACAAGAAACATCTGTGTCACTATAATGGGCAGTTTAAAATGTGATCTCATTTATCCTGATGGAAACAGCAATAATAACAACAATACCATCCACCTGGATTCTATGTTTATTTGTTAGGAACTGAGCAGAAACTATTGATCTCCACCTCTGTGCTTCCCATAATGAAAGCATTAATACTATCGTCATCTCCATTTTGCAGATGAGGGACCAGAAGTTAACGTGCATGCCCGAAGACTCAGAGCCTGTAAGTGCTATCGTAAGGATTCAGAACCTATGTATTTCACTCAGCTGACTTTTTTTTTTTAATTTCAACTTTTATTTTATTTTTTATTTAATTTTTGAGACAAGGTCTTGCTCTGTTGCCCAAGCCAGAGTGTGGTGGCACACACATAGCTCACTGCAACCTCGAACTCCAGGGATCAAGCAATCCTCCTGCCTCAGCCTCCCAAGTAGCTAGGACTACAGGCACACACTACCATACTTGGCTAATTTTTTTGTATTTTTTACAGAGACTGGGTTTCACCATGTTCAGTTCAACTGTTCTGTACTAACATAACTTGATGGGTGAAAATATGGTGATGGTAGACGAGAGGGAGTGAGGATCATATTAGATAATGTAAGTAAATCTCTCTATAAACTGAAGAGTCCTGGAGACAGGGTCTTGCTCTGTTGCCCAATCTGGAGTGCAGTGGCAAGTTCATAGCTTACAGCTAAGCTTTTCCTACTTTTGTGCAAAATGATGTTGATAGTTTGACAGGAATAGCATTGAATGTGTAGATTGCTTTGGGCAGTGTAGCCATTTTAACAATATTGATACATCCAGTCCATGAGCATAGAATGCTTTTCCATTTGTTTGTGTCACCTCTGATTTCTTCCAGCAGGGTTTTGTAGTTCTGCTTATAAGGATCTTTCACTTCCTTGGTTAAATGTATTCCTAGGTATTTTTTTGTGTGGTTATTGTAAGTGGGATTGCATTCCTGATTTGGCTCTCAGCTTGAATGTTATTGGTGTATAGAAATGCTACTGATTTTTGTTCACCAATTTTGTATCTTGAAACTTCCCTGAAGTCATTTATCAGGGCCAGTTTTTTGGCAGTCTTTAGGGTTTTCTAGGTATAGAATTATGTCATCAGTGAAGGGAGAGGATTTGATTTTTTATTTTCCTATTCGAATGCCTTTTATTTCTTTCTCTTGCCTGGTTGCTCTGGCTAGCACTTCCAGTGCTATGTTACATAGGAGTGGTGAAAGTTGGCCTCCTTCTCTTGTTCCAGTTCTTAAAAGGAATGCTTCTACCTTTTGCACGATCAGTATGATATTGGCTATAGGTTCGTCAAAGATGGCTTTTAGTATTTTGAGGTACATTCATTTGATGCCTAGTTTGTTGAGAGTTTTTACCATGAAGTTATGTTTATCAAAAGCTTTTTCCAAGTCTGCTGAGATGATGATATGGTTTTTGTTTTTCATCTTATGGACTTCATGACTTCTGAAGTATAAATGGGATATGAGCCATAATGGTTTTTTTTTTTTTTTTTTTTTTTTTTTTTTTTTGAGACTGAGTCTCATTCTGTTGCCCAGGCTGGAATGCAATGTCACAAATCTCAACTCACTGCAATCTCCACCTCCTGGGTTCAAGCGATTCTCATGCTTCATGTGTGTACTACCATGCCCAGCTAATGTTTTTATATTTTAAGTAGAGATGAGGTTTCACCATGTTGGCCAGGCTGGTCTTGAACTCCTGGGCTCAAGTGATCTGCCCACATCAGCCTCCCAAAAAGTGCTTGGATTACAGGCATGAACCACCGCGCCAGGCCCTCATAAGTGTTTTTAAAGTGCTGGTGTCCACTTACGAAAAAATAGTTTAAAATGTGTTTCTAATGATTATGGGCTTCTTGTTAGGTCTTACTTCCAGGCTAGAATTCCCAGGTGTTATAGCCTATTCATTTTTAAAATGAGATCTTGAACTGTATGCTTAAAATCCATTTTTACCCCCAATTTGCACTCCATCAACAACTGCTAGATTTCTGGTTTGCTATTGGGAGCAGATGTCACTGTGCAAATCTTTTTTTCTGTTTCAGATGCAACATAAAAAGTGCATCTGTAGCAAGGGTCTGGGAATTCCCTCTAAGGAGCAGGAAAGTGTGACTGAGTCAGCACTGGCCTCTCTTTTGTGACAGTATGCAAATTGTCAATGGCAGAGTTCAAGTGCATTCAAATATGTGGCATTTTTCACAGCTCATTGTTCTTTATATCTTGTATTTCTGAAAACCACTTGAGATTTACATACCTGAAAAATTTCCTTTTCCTGGTGATAAAAAGGCTGTAGGTTTTACAGTCAAGCCTACATCCTACAGGAAAGTCTCTGGAGAAAAGCTCTTGTTTTTTTCTTCTGTTCTCTTCCCCTTGCCATAGTAAATGAAGATAATGTAGAGACACCAGTGTAACAGAGAAAGTAACCTGATGAACTCAAAGACAGCAGAAATGTAGGCACACAATTTTGACACAAATTCATAGCTTTAGGCCAGATGTGGTGGCTCATGTCTGTAATCCCAGCACTTTGGGAAGCCAAGGCGGGCAGATCATCTGATTTCAGGAGGTCGAGACCAGCCTGGACAACATGGCAATACTCTGTCTCTACTAAAAGTACAAAAATTAGCTGGGCATGGTGGCATGTGCCTGTAATTCCAGCTACTTGGGAGGCTGAGGCACAAGAATCATTTGAACCCAGGAGGCAGAGGCTGCAGTGAGCCAAGATCACGCCATTGTACTCCAGCCTGCGCGACAGACCAAGACTCTGTCTCAAAAAAAAAAAAAATTGAGGCTTCGGTCTCTGCTAGCTTACCTTCATTTCCAACCACTGTAACTAGTCCAATGTGGAGACTTATTCAACTTGAAATTTAACTTGCCCAGAAGGAATCACTTACTTATCAGATTTACTCTAAATCGAGAAAGTGATCTCACAATCGTAATTACTAGCACTCAGGGCCCAGAGAAGTAAAATGACATGGCTCAGAATCGAGCTCGCAAGTCTGATGCCCTCTTTTCAAAATCCCACTGCTCCTCAGAACCAAGTTCTGCTTGGGCATTGTTCTCTGAGTCTATAAAGTTGTCAGTTTTCTGGGAAGCCTTATTTGCCCACGTAATAAGAGCCTATACTCTAAAACGTGTGTTGATTTTATTGTCTTTCAAAGGGAGCTATAAATCCACCTTCTCTTTCAGAAATTAAGCAAGTTTGTATTGAGGGCCTGTTATGTCCCCGGTTCTGTGCTAACCAAGGTGTAGTGAGAGTGAACAATCCTGCCTTCGGGCGCCTTCGGAACTGCTGAGGATAACTGGCGCTCATGCTTTCATGGCATTTACTATGCATTCTAGAGGCACCATTCTAAGTGTATTAATTTGTATTTTATATGAAATTGGTCTATTACTATTCCCATTTTATAAATAAGGAAACTGAGACACAGAGACACTCAACTAATTAAGTGCCACGGCCAAGATTTGAATCCAACTTTAAATAAGTAATTATTAATGTTAGTAAGTATTATTGAAGGGCAAGGTAAGGTGCTGTGGGAACTTGTCTTTTGAGATGAAATCACACCCTGTCACCCAGACTGGAGCATAGTGGCGTGATCACAGTTCATTGCAGCTTTGACCACCTGGGCTCAAGCAATCCTCCCACTGCAGCCTCCCAAAGTGTTGGGATTACAGGCAGGAGACACCACGCCTGGCCTGTGGGAACTTTGCTAATGTGATTTCACTTAATACAGGTGGTTAGATGAGCAGGAATCAGGCTGGAACTGACCCAGGAAAAGTTTTTTTAAGTGTATTTCTCCTGCTGTCTGCACAGACAAGATCAACCCACTGAGACCACAGCATTGCAGTAGAGAAAGAGTTCATTGACGTAAGCAATCCTCCCACCTCAGCCTCCTGAGTAGCTGGGACCACAGGTGTGCACCACCATGCCTGGCTAATTTTTGTATTTTTTGTAGAGATAGAGTTTTATTATGTTCCCTAGGCTGGTCTCCTGAACTCAAGTGATCCACCCACCTCAGCCTCCTAAAGTGCTGGGGCTACAGGCATGAGCCACCACACCTGGCCTAATTTGCTGTCTTATACTCGGTTCACTTCATTCATCATTTGGCTGCCTTAGAGCCTGATGCCTGGATGCATCTGAGTTTGTTATCCTGGTGGATCTCTTCTGGGAGAGTTGGGCTCCACCCTGTTTCAGTTAGGAGTCTCTTGATTGCAGGCTGGAAGCAGTGGCTCACACCTGTAATCCCAGCTCTTTGGGAGGCCAGGTAGATCACACAGTCAGGAGTTCGAGACCAGCCTGGCTAAGATGGTGAAACCCCGTCTCTACTAAAATTACAAAAATTAGCCAAGTGTGGTGGTGAGCACCTGTAATCCCAGCTACTCGGGAGGTGGAGGCAGAGAATTGCTTGAACCCGGGAGGCAGATGTTGTAGTGAGCCGAGATCGCACCACTGCACTCCTGCCTGGGTGACAGAGCGAGACTCTGTCTCAAAACTAAAAAAAAAATGAGTCTCTTGGTTGCAAGTGACAGAACCTCAACTTGACATTCCTTAGACAAAAGGGGAAATTTACTCAACGGCTAGAGGTTTGTTTGTTTTTCATATACTTGTAGGCAGCGCATGGTTGACACTTAGCCTCAGTGACGATTGGAACCAGAGACCTGCTGCTGCCAGGGTTCTGTTTATCTGACTCTTCTCCTGCAGATGTGCTTCTTCAGCCTGGTACGCATATGGCTGCCCAAAGCTCCTAAGCCTCTCTGCCAGAAAAGAGCTGACTCTCTTCCCTTGGGTCTACATTGGAAAATCTGTAGAATATTCTTACATGGTTCAAGTGTCCACCCTTGGACCAGTTACTGTGGCCAGAGAGACAGGGCGTTTTGACTGTCCAGCTTTGGGACAGAGATAAATCAGCTTTGGGGATTCTCCGCTGGACATCTCACCCATCTATCATATGGGATATTGCCAGTGTTGCCTTTTATGTCCGCCCTTAAGAAGCTCCTTCTCTTGATCACAGTAATTTTCCTGGCCCACAAAGCATTTTCTTTCAGGAGCTCATAGGACTGTGCTGTAGATTATAGCATCCTGCTGACAGAGTGTGTCATATCAGTTTATTTCATGAAATGAGATGACCTTTCTACCACACTTCTTTAGTCTTCTTATTTAGGGGTCCCTTGCAAAGTAAACACATTAGAATGTCCCCACACTTCCATTTTGAAGACATTAAGAGCTTCTTTGGTATAATAATGGGCAATTAGCAAATTATAAATTCACGTTTAAACACAAAACATGAAGGAAAGTGACCCAAGGTCACTGCAGTGACTAGTGCCATGATTTTTTTTTCCAACCCAAGTTTAAAATAAGCAGGCATGACTTGTTCTGACCTGGTACTGAATCTAAAAATGGAATCCCTATGTCATTGCTGGCTAAGAATCCTGTGTGCATTGCTGGGAGAGGTAAACAGGACTTACCCTTTCCCTGAAGGTTTACTCTTCAGTTAAGAGCAAGGGCTCTGCAGCAAGATGCCTCTGAGTTAAGTTCGGGCTTGGCAAATAATAATTTAGCCTCTCTGTGCCCCAGTTACCTCGGCTCTAAATAAGAATGGTGATTGCCCCTAATACACAGGTCCGTTGGATACGTGAACAAATGTGTAACCTGCTCAGCTGAGTAACAGGCACAGTCATACTCAGGAGATTTTAGCTGTCGTAATTTTCATCATCATCACATACCAGCTCCATCCTTTGACTCAGATGTTTAAGGGTAATCAATATAAGAAATTGGACAGTGTGTTAGACTGGTGCTTTTCAAAAATCAGATTTCCTCATCTCCTTCTACATTTTTGAGGACAAGATAAAAGGAAGGAAACTGACACTTCAGGCTCCTGCTACCTGCCACACACCTTCGTGCATCTACCGTTCAGTCGTATTCATTGTTTCTATGATTATTTCCTTAACATCTGTCTCACTAGATCTGTAAATGTGCTAAGGGCGAGGGCTCCTCTGTCTTTCTTTTTCTATGTGCTGGCATGTAGTAGGTGCTCAGTAAGCACGTGTTGAGTTTAACTTTGCTCACAACCCCTTATTCAGGTAGCTGTTATTGCGTTCTTAAGTTGACAAAAATGAAAGCTTCCAAACACTGTGACTGCTGGTAGCAGAACCAGTCCAAACCCAGATTTTGCAGCTGTTAGTCCAGTGCCATTTCTTTTTACTAAAAAGTACAAATGATAAGGAAGAGTAAAACCAAATTAGTAATTCCTCCATGTGATATGCAAATTGGATTTTTAAACCTATGGTTAGGGAAGTCAGATCCTTTGTCCCAAGGACTGGTTAATTGATTGGGGCTGAAACCAAGGTCAAATTGCACATCTGCAGTATCACTTTCAAACAGGGGCACTTACTTTTGCTCCTCCTAAGGCCATTTGATACACACTGGTAGGAATAACACCAATAGTTTCAGTTTACAAGGCAGGTTAGAGTTTTTCCTCTTAAAAATTCCCATGAGCCTTATTGACCTTTCCATATCTTTTTTTCTGTCTTTTCAAGTGTGATCCTGTAAAGTAAAAGCCACAGAGTCACCTTCACTGTGTGACCTTCCTTTCATGGCTGGCTCTCAAATCCACCTGGGTGCATTTAGGATTTAAGTTCTCAAACTTTGATTCATTCAGCACTAACGCTTTATGAAGCCCCGGTTCTATTCTGCCATATGTTGATGAAAGAAATATGACAAAGTTGATCATATTAAGACATGGGAGACACATACATAAAAAGATACAATATAATCTTCAAAAAAATGATAAAATAATTCATTCCTGTTGTGGAAGGGACACCACCCAGGGGCTAAGGAAGAATTATGAGATAAGGTAATGTTTTAGTTCATTTTATCATATCTGTTTAGGAGCAAAGTTTACAAGGGGAAGGGAGCAGTCCTAGGATCTTTCTCCTAGAAGGGAGAAATTAAAGAGAATCTAAATGAGTGAGATAAGTTCTGGCCCCCAAAAATCAGAGAGTAAGTTGGAAATAAGCGGCTAAGTGTAGCACAATCATCCAGGTGACCTAGGCTCCAGTCTTGGGAGAGAGCTTACTGGGATTAAATCTTTCAGGCTGTCAATCAATGGGGAATGAAGGACATAGGCTGAGATTGTAACCGAATGTAATAATAATGATCATCTGGGCATAACCGGACCCTTATCTATTGTCTTGTTACACATCTAATAAGAGCCTGATGAAGAAAGGGTGTGTGAACAGGCCTAGCAAAGAACGAGGGGTGGGGCCGGGCGCGGTGGCTCAAGCCTGTAATCCCAGCACTTTGGGAGGCCGAGGCGGGTGGATCACGAGGTCAAGAGATCGAGACCATCCTGGTCAACATGGTGAAACCCCGTCTCTACTAAAAATACAAAAAATTAGCTGGGCATGGTGGCACGTGCCTGTAATCCCAGCTACTCAGGAGGCTGAGGCAGGAGAATTGCCTGAACCCAGGAGACGGAGGTTGCGGTGAACCGAGATTGCGCCATTGCACTCCAGCCTGGGAAAAAAAAAAAAAACTCCGTCTAAAAAAAAAAAAAAAAAAAAAAGAACGAGGGGTGGGAAATGTCAGATTCAACTAAAGCAAAAACAACAACAAAAAAAAAACAGCTGCAGAAAAATACCGTGAGATACTAAAGTAAGTTAGTCTTGCTTACTCAAAGAATTGCCTCCAGCATTTCCTAAAGGAGAAAAGTGTCCTGTCTAGGTCACTTCTAAGACTGTCAGCACCGTGGTTCTGGGTGCATGTTCTAGATCCTGCACTAGTTCCCTGCAGTGCATTTGAGAAGATGGGGCCAGCACAGCTCAATTCCATTTACTATCATCATTAGCATCTTCATTAAATATTATTAATTGCTGGGCCCGGTGCGGTGGCTCACACCTGTAATCTCAGCACTTTGGGAGGCCCAGGCGGGTGGATCACCTGAGGTCAGGCGTTCAAGACCAGCCTGGCCAATATGGTGAAACCCCGTCTTTAAAAAATATATATAGTGAAACCCCGTCTCTACTAAAAATACAAAAATTTAGCTGGGCATGGTGGTGCGTGCCTGTAATCCCAGCTACTCAGGAGGCTGAGACAGGAGGATCACTTAAGCCCAGGAGTTTGAGGCTATAGCAAGCCCTGCCAATTAGGTGTCTGCACTAGGTTCAGCATCGATATGGTGCCCTCCTGCAAGGAGGGACCACCAAGATGCCTAAGGAGGGGTGAACCAGCCCAAGTTGGAAGCAGAGCAGGTCAAACCCCTGTGCTGATTGGTAGTGAGATCATGCCTATGAATAGCCCACTGTGCTCCAGCAGCAGCATAAAAAGACCCTGTCTTTTATTTAAACAAAAAAGAAAAGAAATCTGATAGGCCTAAGGCCTCAGAGATCTGAAAGGACTGAAAAAACATTTGGAAGTGACAAAGCTGCCTTCATTACTGAGAGTTAGTCCAGTGGGTGAGTGAAACTTTTATGCCCAGTGTTTTGTTCATTTTTGTAGTAGACGGAAGCCCAATTAAATGGGCTAACTGCTGAAATTGGAAAGTGCAGTTGAGCCCTGCAATGCTGCTAATTGGTTGTGTCTTTTGCATTTCAGGAAGACATGTCCCAGGTGATTGGTCAAGGCATGGTGGCAGATCCGCAGAAGGCACTGGAATACCCACCTGACAATGTATATAACTTGTACTTTAGGTTTCACTCTATTGGGGTAGTGTGCGTTCCAAAAGAAAAGGAGGTGATTGCAATGAGATCAGATCCTTTATTACTTGACAGGAGGTTGTGGAGTGTTATGCAACCCGAAATCAATGCACAACTATATCTTAATTCTGTGCAAGTTGTATGCAGATATCCTATGTTCATCTCTCTACCTCAACCCCCTAAACAGGTGTTTAAAAGGGCATCCCGGGTGGGCATGGTTTGTAATCCCAGCTCATGTTTGTAATCCCAGCACTTTGGGAGGCCAAGGCAGGCAGATCACTTACGGTCAGGATTTCCAGACCAGCCTGGCCAACATAGCAAGACCTCATCTCTATTAAAAATACAAAAATTAACCAGGTGTGGTGGTGCATGCATGTAGTCCCAGCTACTCAGGAGGCTGAGGCATGAGAATCACTTGAACCTGGGAGGCAGAGGTTGCAGTAAGCTATCAAGATTGCACCATTGCACTCCAGCCTGGATGACAAAGCGAGACGCTGTCTTTAAATAAATAAATAATAAAAGGGTATCCCTGAAAACACCCTTGCACTTAAATAAATTCTATCTAGCCAGGCACAGTGGTGCATACCTATAGTCCTAGCTGCTCAGGTGGCTGAGGCAGGATTGCTTGAGCCCAGGAATTCTAGTCTACCCTAAGCAATGTAGTAAGGCTCTATCTCCAAAAAAAATTTCTGAGAGCGCCATGTCTTATACAATGTTGGAAATAAAAATTACAAATGGAAGAATTTCTATAAAATAACTTTAGTGTTCCTTACATTTGAATTTCACTTCTCATAAAGAACCAAAAACTTTTATCAAAATGTTGATACTTTTGTTGTTGTTGAGCTTTTTCCTTGCTTTTTTTGAGTCCTGATTTTCATGTCTTTATACTGATCTATGCTTTTATGTTTCTAACACTTATACATTATTACTATGTTAGCTATTTTTATATTTAAAAAACTATGGATTACTAGAGCTTACAGGAAATACGTATTTCAAACACTGCCAAAGAAAATGCCTTTGAAAATTCTTTAAAATTATATGCTAAAAACCCCAAATTTTTTTAAAAAAAAGGTACAGAATGAACCTTAAAAATAACCAAATTCAGTTCAACTGAAAACGTGTAAGCAATTTTTAAGAGTCAGGGTCTTACTCTGTCTCCCAGGCTGGAGTAGAGTAATGCAATCAGAGCTCACTGCAACCTCGAACTCCTGGGCTCAAGCAATCCTCAAACCTCAGCCTCCCAAAATGTTGGGATTATAAGTGTGAGCTACTGTATCTGGCCAATTATAATTTTTTTAAAATTTAAAAGCAGGTTTTGCTTTAATGTATTGCAAATACCATTAAGGAGTTAATACTTTATATATTCCCAGCGAGGTGCAGTGGCTCATGCCTGTAATCCCAGCACTCTGAGAGGCTGAGGTGGGTGGATCACCTGAGTTCAGGAGTTCAAGACCAGCCTGGCCAACATGGCAAAACCCCATTTCTACTAAAAATACCAAAATTAGCCAGGTGTGTTGGTGGTTACCTGTAATCCCAGCTACTCAGGAGCCTGAGGCAGGAGAATCACTCAGAAGGCAGAGGTTGCAGTGAGCTGAGATCGCGCCACTGCACTCCAGCCTGGGTGACAAAACGGGACTCTGTCTCAAAACAAACAAACAAACAAAACTTTATGTACTGCCACCTATCTCAAGCGCATATCAAACATCTCTAAAATATTACAGTCATAGAATTTTAGAACTAGGGCAAATCCTAAATATCATCCCGCATTTCTTCTTGTGGAATAGTGAGCACCTAAGCATCTTAATTATTCTCCTTTGGGAAAGTGATTTTAAGCCCTTTCTGTGGCTTCCAAAGAGAAATGGCCAGAGGTCAGTGGGCAGCATCTGCAGTGAGGCCAGCAGCTCATTATACAGAACTTCTCCACCCTTTGAGCTGCTTCAGAATAGAATGAACTTCTTCATGGAAGTGGAATTTTCCATCCCTGAAGGTTTTTCAATCAGAAGCTGGCCGATCATTTATTGATATGTTCTAAAAGGACATAGAAGCATTAATAGCTGTTATTAATTGAGCCTAAATTATTTCCGGCATAGTGATTGATTCATTTATTTATCTTTAATCTTTACAACAACCTTGCAAGATATAGATGTGTCACCAATATATAGATGAGGTGGTCAAGTGACTTGTCTGTGGTCACACAGCTAATTAGTGATAGCAAACTTAGCCACATGTACCTTCTTTTGAGTAGTGATTTTTATTTTCCTATCCTGAGGACCTGATGAAGTGTAAATCTTCCTAGACAAACACTGATGAGTACAATTTTTATACAACTACAAGGGTGTTTTACAACTGAACCAGTGGTTCTTTTTTTTTTTTTTTTTTTTTTTTTTTTTTTTTTTTTTTTTTTTTTTT